TGAGCAAGGATACAAAAAGGATAACTGTAGTCATCTGTTTTATTCTCTTTCTCAGATTTTCTTTCTCATGACTTCAAATTACAGAGGGTTCACTGAACTGTTAAAATGTTGTGATTTGCAAATTGAATTTTGTCCACGTAGCAAGCAATGCTTTGTGAACTGCTGGCTTTCTGAGTACTATCGGAGCAACACGTATTTATAAAATGACTTTTGAATCATCTGCTGCCTTGAAATGGTTAACACCATCTTCCTCCAACACTTCTCCACAGGTACCCCCGCTGGGTGGGACTGCCCTCACAGCTTCTTGTCTTGGCCAGAGGCTATGGCTTCTGGGCCAGCCCCTGCACCATTACATGTAATATCACTGGAGGATTGATCCAGTATTCCTTGCTATTTCTCATCTACACTCTGCACCTCAATGATACAATTCAAAAGCTCAGCACAGGGTTCTGCATATATGGTGACCACACCTAGCTCCACTATATCAGTTGTGGATGAATGTTCTCGATGAGATGTATGATTGTGTAATAGCCACACACAGCAGCATGAAATGTATGTGCAGGCCTTGTGTCATGATAAACAGCAAGTGAAAACTTAACAATATAATGCACTGATAAAGCTGACCAAGTGTAACAACTAAATGTTCCTGAACCACCATGTGACGCCACCCCCACCATCTCCGATTTATCTGAATGATTATCCAGCATACCATTCCAAATAAACTACTTCTAATTAAAAATCAGAAATTGGTGCCTATCAATATTCCATTCTCTACCTACCAATTCTATCCCTCTTGGTGGTCATTGAAACTGAATCAAACTGTTTGCATCTTTGGAGTCCAATAGTACTCAAGATTAGCTTCTTACTACCTAACTGTGCCATCACCAAGACCCTGTACTTCCAATCTGTAACATTGCTTGTATCCGGCCTTGCCTCAGCTCATTTGCTCCTGAAACCCCAGACACATTTCTGCTACCTCCCAACTTGATTTTATTAATGCTTTCTTCGACAGCCTCCTATTTAGCATTCTCCATAAACTTAAACATGACCAAACTCTCTGCTCTTTTAATTTGCATCAAGTCCTGTCCTCCATCACCTTGAGCTTGTTGATCAACAACAGCCTCCAGTCCAACAATAACTTGATTTTAAGGTGCCGTTTTCTCTTGTTAAATCTTTGCAAGGTGTTACTCTTCCCTGTTTCTGTCACCTGTCACTACTATATGATCCTTTGAGATCTTGTGTACCTCCAGTTCCGCCTCTTACTCTTTCCACCACTTGTGTCCATGCCTTCAGTTCCTAGCCTCTTGGCTCTGGAATTCCTGCATAAGGCTGTCTCTCTACATCTCTCTCCTCCTTCAGAACAGCCCTTGAAAACTCATCTCTTTGACAACTGTCCAAATATCTTTGTGTCAAATGTTGTTTGATAACCCCACTGTAAATCAACTTGCAATGTTCTCCTATTTTGGAGGCACTATATATGAATGCTCGTAATTGTTTTTGTTGTTAATAAAGAGAAACATCTCAAAGCTTTACTGATGTCTGATCCAATTTGATTTATGGAAGTACGCGTGTATGCAAAATCATCCTCAACTACTGAACAATTGCTCCTGTCCACTACTTGAGGAGCATTGTCACAGCAAATAATTTCAAATACAGTACAGCTCATACATGGTTAAGATCTGATAAGTTGCCTGAAAGATTGAGAAATGTATTAGTGTGGATTGTTCTTCAGTGCTTAACAATATAAGCATTAATCAAATCAGTCCACCATGTCCAGAGAGCATTAGAAATAACTGTACTCTCTACAATGAAGTACTTTTGGACATGGGATGGAGTGACAAATTTAGTAGCTTAACTCTCTCTTGCTTGTGAGGTTGACAGCACTGCAAAAAAGAAAAGTTGCAGAGATAGGGCCTACCAATTATAATCATATATTACCTTTAAAACTATCTTGACAGAAAAAAAATTAAAATTTTACAAATAGTGTGAATAGAATAAGATTATGTCCATACACTTTGCATCTCAGCTGTACAAGAACAACCTTGGTCAGGAATTTCTGCAGTTGTTGCATTGTATAAATGGCACAACATGGGGTTCCTGACACATTTCTGGTCAAGTTTCTGTTGGTGGACTATGAAATGTTCCCAGGGAATTTCTGAGTTTCAACTGCAATATTTTTTAGACTTTGGGGGAAAAGCTAAAATAATTCTCCAATGTTAAGTGACTGATGATTTGATTTAACACTTAAAGACAGAGCAAATAAAAAACATCATTTTTTGTATGGTTAATAATAAAACCATTTAAACAAACAATTACAATAATCCTGAGATAAAAGAGGAAAGAATATACAATCAAAAGTTTAGATTAAGAAATGTAACAGGTCAGAGGGAATTAACCAATACCTGGTATTTGCTGTTTTATAGGGTCAACAAAATAAACACTGAATAGTATTTCTACCCACCCAGTATTACCATGCAATTTCAGGGAATTCAGATATGTAATGGTGCAGAAGTTGTAATGAGAATAGCAATGATGATTTCAGCACTTTTAGTATAATTGAGGAAAGCTAACTCCTTTACCTGGAGTATACATATGCACAGTAAAATGTGAAAATCCAGAGGTTGGTTTGGGAGATACTCGGGGCATTTTTATTAGAAATGGAAGTGGAAAAGGGATCCCTAAAATACCAGCGTGAAGTGCATCTCAATGTCAAGGTGGGTTCCCAACAATGGAAATAATTAGAGAAGAGAGGACAGAAAACCCACTCTTTTCCCAAGTGAAGTCAATTAAATCTGTTTAAAAGTTTGTTAAAAGAGCATTGAGGTTTGCAGTTTAAATTTTCATGGTGGGAGCAGGAGAAGGGAGTTGGTTAATGATGGTAGCAGCAGAGCAGCAACCCTGTCCCATAAGAAGGTCAATGGAGCGAAGCGGATTGGGCAGGTGCTAAGGAGGTGATTCTTTGCAGATAGGCATCCAGTGCTCAGGCTGTGAAGAAAGTCTGTATTCTTCTGGCAGCATGTGAGCAGAAAAGCAAGGAGCCAGGTTTCCAAAGACAAGTGGACAGGCCAGAAGAAAGGCTGTAATTAAAAATGGGAAATACGGTATTGATATAGGGTCCCGTAGTGATGAGGAGCAACACTGTCCACAGAAAGTAAAGAGGCTGAATCCTCAACACTGGATCTACACCCAAGAGAGTTGGAGATGACAGAGATCCAGTGCCTGAACAAACAGTGGCACACCCAGCAAACGGTCACAGGCATCAATAATTTCATCACTGAAGATCTCACGACGCGCAGCACTGCCATCCATGGTCTGCCAGTAATTGTCAAAGTCACCGTGGCCTTCTTCATGCTGCCTCTTTCCAAGTATCGGCTGCAGGCCCTAGTGGTAGATCAAAATGGCCGCTCACATGGCATTGCCTTGGTTACTGATGTACATCATTTAACTACAGGCACCACCTTGCAGGAACAGACACCATTGAGTTTCCTTTCCATTTCTACATTCACCTAGGTGTAGGGAACCATCAAATATACCCATGTGGCTATCAAGGCCATCATCCCCTCAATTTCTAACTGATCTGCATCCATGGGAATAGTGACCTCCATATGTCGCTGGCAGCTGCAATAATTTCTTCATCCTCCACCAAACCCTTTGATCTTCACTCCAACCTTCAAAGTGCTTAGACAGATGCTAGGAAGAGAACAAGGCATATTCTCGCTCTCCCGTGACAGCTCACTTCCCTCTGCTGCAGTGTTTTAGCCCAATCTGATTTCTCCCTCAAGACAATTGGTAGCCTCATATGAATTAATCCTAAACGTCATCCGACCTGCTTCTGTTCACGCCCCACTAAGTGGATAGCAAGCTCATTTCCATGTCAGTTAAGAGGCCAAACTCTGGGAAAATCTTAATTTTAATTAGTTTCCCACCAAAGAGTGGTTTCCAAAAATATACACAGATTCTCCTTCCTGCCACCACAATGAAAGTTCTACCTACTGTTACTCTGCAGTTCTAGACTTCTCCAATTGTCTTGGCACTATAACAACTGCAAAGGCATCAATCTATTGTACCTGTCCACTAAATCCATATTAAAAACAGCCGAAAAAATAGAGCTAATGCATTCAGAGCTAAACAAAACTTACAATGATTATTAATGTTGGAAATATGTTCTAAATAAATATCAAAATTCTTCTAACTTTTCTGCCTCTCCCTTTGATCTCTTTCCCTTCATTCCATTTGTCTTTCTATATGTCATTTAAATTTAATTTTTATTTTGTGCTCTACGCTTCCTCATTTAGACTCTGCACATCTCAGCAACGATGATTAAATGTTATTAGTGGAAGAACTTTATTGTTGCTTGCCTTGTCTGCAGGGAAAGCAGAACTCCTACAGAAGGCAGTGTACCTGAGATAGAATTATAGAATCCCTACAGTGTGGAAGCAGGCCACTCAGCCAATCCAGTCCACATCAACCCTTCAAAGAGCATCCAACCCACCCACATCCCGCTACCCTATCCCTGTAACCCTGCAATTCCCATGGCTAACCCACCCACATCCCGCTACCCTATCCCTGTAACC